TAATGTATCACTTTTTGGTAAATGACACCTGTTGTAAACATAAATTATAGGTTTGTGAAAGAATGTGTAAAAACATGTACACGGGAAGAGATATTTTTTCAAGACAAAATGGCTACTTCTTTAGGCAGTTAAAACTAATGTTAATACATTTTAGAATAAGATTAGAAAGAAATCCAATCTATTATTCACAAATGTGTGCACAAAAATAAATGTTCACAATAGTTATAAGCAAGAAAAACTGAACATTATACATATTGAAGAGGTTATTTTAATGTTTAAATCCTTCGGGGAGCGAGGGGGTGGAGACCTGCTGGTAGCTCCCGAGCTGTAGGTCGAAGACCATTGGGCTAAACATTCTGTCTAATAAAGACATACTGTATGTTAAAAGAGATTTTGGCACAAACTAAAGCTGAACAAAGGCATATTCTTATATTCTAATTAGTCAAATCGTCATTTCTGACAAAAAACTCATTTTCTTGAGTTTTTGCCCAATTAACAAGACTATTGCTTGGTAACATTCCTCATGGCATGATCTACAAGATATATTACTTTATTGTGTTGCTTTGTTTTAACACAAAAGATGTGTGAATATTGTGCATATGTTCAAAATAACCTTTTCTCATAAATGCACTTGAAATTTAAATATAGATACAAATCAATGCAACCGTATAAAATTAATTTTAGAATACAGGGAGCTTATAAGTTTGACTTCTTCCCACTCCATTTCAGGTTGAGTGAACAAAAGAAACCCTAATATGTATGTATGTTTGTATTATGTATAATATGTAAATACTGAAAACTACAATACTTTATTCCTCTTGTTAAGCTTGACACTAATAAAAAAAACAAATTCAATGAACACATTAGAAATAGAATCAAGCAGAGCCACAATCGTTTGTCTCAAAGTGGTAACTCTTTCTGTCCCGATCTAACAAAAGGTAATCACAAAAACAAAATTAAATTCCATGATTGGCTGTGGAGTTTAAATGATTGATAGACATTTAAATTTAAAAAAAAAAAAAAAAATTTTGGGCGGCAATAGCTCAGTTGGTAGAGCGTTGGCCTTTGAGCCAGAAGGTCGTGGGCTCAAGCCCCGCTCAAGACTTTCACAATCGACTCCCACTGACTACTGTCGTTGTGTCCTTGGCAAGACACTTAACCTCTGGGAACACCAGCCACAGTGGGGCAGCTGCGGCTGTAAAGTGCCAAACTGCCGTTGTGTCCTTAGGCAAGACACTTCACCCCCATTGCCTAGAATGAGTCTGGTGTGTATGAATGGTTGGTGCTGGTCGGAGGGGCCGATGGCGCATACTGGTTGCCTCGCTTCTGTCAGTGTGCCCCAGGGCAGCTGTGGCTACAGTAGTAGTTTATCACCACCGTGTATGGAGTGAAAGAATAATGACATGTGAAGCGTCTTTGAGTGTCCAAAAAAGCGTTATATAAAACCGATGCATTATTATTATTATTAAAAACAGATATTTCTCTCTGTCCTTCAAAGCCCTTGGAAAAACCACATTATTCCGCATTACGAATCGTTATTGTCCTTGGAAAATGCTTACTCTGCATTTGAGAAAAAACCATGACATTGAGTTAAATTATAGACGCGTTATTTTGTTTCTCTTGCCTTTATGTATGCAAATGATACATGGGAGTAACAAAGGAGAATGTACATCTTGCTGTGAGAGGAGCACTGCATGAAGCGGGGACACCATAAGGAACAGCTTGCTTCATTGGAAAGAGACATTGGCAGAATCCCACACCACGCTCACAACGCATTTCATCCAATTTATGCACGGCTAACCGGGTCCTAGCATTTCCACAGTTTAATATTATGCTAATATTTTTTGCTTCTCTCATTGAGTTAAGTGAGAATAAACAAAACGGGGTAACGCGATTCCCAGCAGGGGCAATTACTCCATAAATGCCCTCAAAGCATGCAGCATCTCGCTCTGTCATAAAACATTGCATCATCGGCAGCCAATCGCTGGGCAGCTGTCGTGGGGCTTTGTGTGGCGTGGACCTGGGAGACGGGCAGGTGGGCTTTCTCAATGAGGAGTCACATTAAAGCCGCTCTCTTCTCCATGACGTGCGGACAATATGTTTGTGGACAAATATTGGTGGAGGTGACGATTGATTCGAACAATGCAGCCGGTAAACATCTCACTCGTGTCTAATATAAGAAGAGTAAACAGTATAACAGGTGCCACTATGCTCCCCATGTGGTGTAGAAGGGTTTTTTAAACGCATTGATTTACTATGATTAAGTTAGAACCAAAAAAAAAAAAACAGTATAATTAATTGGTATGCTGTGAGATATGGATTGATATTGTTCTGGATCAACTTGAAGGTGACTCATGTCCTGTTACGATAATTCATTTCGACTTATCATCTATAAGTGGAGAGATTTTTGCTATTTTCATATGTATTTTATTTTTAGCCATGAATGGTTCAATATGACCAATAAATAAAAAGTTTTAGTTGATTTTAATAAGGCATGATTTTTAATTAAATGTCTTCTTTACTGGAATTATTGAGTGTAGTAGTAGTAGTTTCGATATTATTGTTTATCGGAATAATTGCTGTTGTGACATATAGATAAATTATGCATAAAAACAGCTCTTTTAGGAACATTTGAGAACATTTTAGGTAGATTATTATCTCCGGAAAACTTGATTCTGACCACAATTAGAAGCATCACTGGTACACAGACAAATTCACTTACTTAGATTTTTGTTATCTGTAATTACATGGAGGCAGCAACGAAGCAAAGACATTATGGGTCAAATTATGATGGAAATTGTTGATGGTAATTATAATTGTGTGCTTGATCTGTTCTTTTGAAAGAAATAGATATATATATGATTTTCTGGGTTTCATTCTGTCTATGTCAGCTGTGTGTGTGGAAGAACCAGCTTTGTTTGGAATAACCATATGTTGGCGACGCTTATTTAACAAATATTTATTGATCATCTTCTTTTCCTCACATCGCTGTGCAAATTACCAATCTACTTCACGTCAGTATTTATGTACCATGTGGTTCCATATTTACACTGCACTTTCACGCTTGCTTTTCTTGGCATCGTTCCCATTTTGCATGTGCACATTATGTCAATCTGCACAGCTCTATCTGCAGAACAACATTTTCACAAGTACATTTTCCCCCCGTCATCGCAATCATCCTCGACGTTCCTTCTTTCACGACTATAGCTTTTCGCCGGCAGCAGCTCATCAGCCCAGACTCCAGCTGCTGCAGGAGCCCAGACTTCATCCCGGCTCAAGAGAATCAGCCGTGTGTCCGTGCGCTAAGCTGAACGTACGGGAAACCATGAAGCCAAAGGATCTGGTGTCTGCGTGCGAAGCAATATTAGGATAAGCTTGGGTTCACACACAATAGGTGCACCGCTAAGCCATTAGCAAGCAGCATTATGAATTACAGGAGATACAATGCTTAATAGGGTACATTTACATGCTCCATCCAACTTTGCAGCTTCACTACCTTTTCACAACTAATCAGGCAGAAGGATTTTTTGCAACTGATCCAAGTTGTTTCAGTGTTTGTCACCCATTTCAGTAATCAAAAAAAAAACTGCTTATCATTCTAAAGATGACTGTGCTAAGATTATAGCCTGTAAATAGCTGGACAATGCACACACCTGAGCTCAATGAAGCCCAACAGGGAAGTGCACATGGACGAAGGTTTGCTCCAATTCGCTCTGGCTCCTATTGACTATAGAAATTCCAGCTTGCCTTAGTAACCCCCTTATTAACACATCTCTTCCGGCATAGAACAAAATGGCCATAAAAGGGAATTGGCTCAAACTTCTTCATGTTCATATTGGCTTCTTCTTGGCAAACACTATGGCTGACATCACCACTCAGTTAGTCCACTCCCAATATACGGTCTATGGCTGAAATATGATTTTAAGATTCAAACAGAGCAGTCCTCACATTAAAAAGGAATATGACAGTTTGAAAATATGACCTCAAGCAGATGAAGTTCAGCTTCATGTGACTAAGATTCAAAAATCTGAAGAATTACTCGCTGTTAGATTGAACACTTATCAAAAATACTCAATAGCAACTGCGCTACAATGCTTATAAATAAACAGAAATTCAACTAAACTTTAGGGCTGCAACAATTTGTAGAGTCATAATAATCAATCAATTATAAATCATTTAAATGTGATCATTGAAATCAAAATATCCATAAGTGAATAGTTCAATTCATATTCAAGAGAAATGCAAGGGATTCGGTGAAAACTTAAATGTGTACCAACTTAAATGAAAACATAAGCTTGTTAGGCTACTATAGGTCTCTGTCAGTGCATACATCCTATATAGTGTATGATAATTTTAAAGCAGCAATGTCAAAATCAAGTTATCTTACAAAACATGGAATACTTAACAATGTGTGTAATAGACAATAAAGAAAATAAAGACATCACTCACAGCTCAAAGAATTTCAACTCATACTTCTAAGAACAAGCTTCACAGTGAGAGCCCATGTCGAGCACATGTACCACTGTTCTAGCTGTCTCATGCATCTAACGCCGGTGTCTAAATACACCAGGGTCCCCGTTAATTTCCTTTGCGCTTTGAGGGGAACGATAAATGTGTCACACTTCTAACACCAGAAACTAGTCCTCTCATTTTAGAGTGAAACATTTGAAAGGTCAACATCAAAGGGGAAAAATCCAAGAGCCGAGAGAAAACGACTATTCCCACACTATTCTAATGTAATCAGAAAACACAGCCTGGATAAACATGCTTGAAGACAGGTTTTTAAATGAACAAACCAGTCTTATGCCAACATCATTATAACACTTCACACACAACATGCAATTGCAATAGCCAACAACCAACAAATCCTTGAACTCACCTGAGAAAAGTCGAAATAACCCCTTTTTGGGCTTGGATTCCTTAGAAGTTCCCTTATTTTTGTCTTTGTCTTTCATGTTGCCTGCCTTGCTCTACAACCGCAACAAGACTGTCCCTGGGTGATGGTCATGCAAGTGATGAAGAGCAGGAGGAAGAAGGCGGAGAAAAGAGGTGAGGGAGACCAGAGGAGGGACACTGGATGGGTTTTGAACAGCCGTCTACAGTGCGTCTACTATGAGGATTTAAACCATCACTTAAAAGTTGTTATTTGTGACATCTTGATGGCACACTTTGAAAACAGTTATGGCAATCCCGTAAGCATGTTGGCACATTTTATCAAAGCTCTGAACAGCTTCTTCGGGGCGTAACCTTCCCATTACCCTGCAGATAAGCTACGCTGCATGCATAAAATTCACATTAAAACATGTGTCATACAGGACTCGATGACAGCTTTAGATCAGACAGCAGAAGAAGATTGAGTGCATAGAGATGGAGTTGTGAGATAAATCAACAACAAAAATCTTGCTGTTGGGAATGGGAATTATTATTATTATTATTACAGCAGCTATGGGCTAAAGGGATTCCAGCATCTCCAGACGACCCACCCATCCAACCATCTACAGTACCATCCCCCATGCAACCAAAGCTGCCAACTTCTCACTAAATAACTGTCATCATTGAAAACAACGTTTATTTGAGCTAATTTCTCTTGTCAACTAGACTTGCCTCATACTTTGACTCTTTGACAGGGAGCGGTCTCACGAGTCACCTCCATCCACGCTCACACCCACCCGCACCACCTGCTTCCCTCACTCTGCTCCTGTCTCCTGGTTCTGTCCTCCCTCATCCACAACACCGCTAACCTCTTCTACAGCATCAAACGCCAGTGGTACCTATTGCCTCTAACTGCACCTCCAGGGATGTCTCACCACAAGCCCCTGGCCCAACCCCCATCCTCTGCTTTAATATCACAGGGAGAGCAACACTGGCTCTGTGGAGAGAACAGAGCCCCCACAGAACTGAAACCTGCAGGATGAGTGTGTATTAAGAAAGGGTAGACATGCCTTGGGATGGTGCATTGCCCATGCTGCGACACGGACCGCTGCAGCTCAAAGTGAACGCGTTTCCTGTTTCCCCCTCCTCTTGTTTGCTCTCTCCTCCTCCCTGGCTTTGCCGCTCTTCACAAAGCTCGTAGGTCTGTCCGTCCTCGTGCCAGTCCCCGCACTCCTATTCGCTCCTCTCCTTCTCCGTCCTCCTTCCCTATTGTCTTTCTCGCGCTGTCTTTTCTCTGCGTTTCCGATGGGTCCTCCTTTTTGCGAGATGGCTGTGCTCCAGCCTCGGTGCTCCTGACAGCACTGCGCGTGTGTGACAGCGAGCACGTGTGTGAGTATGAGTGTGAGTGTGTGCGTGTGCGGAGAGTTTGGGGGGAGAGAGAAGGGTGTACTCTATAGCGATAGGAGCTGAGGGGTGCTGTGCATGCCGGTGCACCAGTGATGAGGAAATCAAGCACTAAGAATAAGCACAAAACAGTTAATTCACACTCGCATGCCTTTTTCTCTATTTCACTCTCTCTCTTAAAGACATAGAAGCTGCGCTGCATTGTTGCCGCCTTGGGCTCTGCTTCATGATATGGTAATAGCTTACAGACTAGAGACATGGTCCGATGAGGGACTCAGGAGCTAAACTAGCAGGGGGTGGGTGGAGAAACGCTTGGAGCATCTACTGTACCAGGAATAGGGCGTTGGAGTGAGAAAATTGAAGGTCGGGGCCATGGGTATAGAGCTCGTTCAGAGGCAGGGTGAGCTCTTGAAATACCCCCTTGTGACAACAGTAGCTAATGATGAAGCTGTGTCAAGCCCGAGGCGCACTTGTAGTGGATTGGCATGGCAACCAGAGGCAGGCAGCAGCAGGTGACAGTCAGCAGCAGCATCAGTGAAGCATGTGGCTGTGCCTGCTGGGAGGTTGTTTGTGAGTATAAATAATGCTAGTTGTGTCACAACAAATGCTTAAGGTGTATCACGCTGAGATGGGCCAAGCTTACGTAGTTCTACCTCTACTTGTTTCTACCTGTACCAAATAGAATGTACATATAATCGTCCTTTGATCTGGGATTATTAAAACTCCTGTTTGGGAGGGGTGTGAGGGAGCACAGTAAATATAGTGTATTTCATTAATGCCTACCTTAACGTAGAGTACATTTCCGCATGAACCCATCTTCTTATTCAAGTTGCTCTCTTTCTGATGACCCTCTTTTCTAATTAATCCAGACACAATATGCAAGATTAGAAACTGAAATGTGAAGTAATACAACAGGCTGGAAAAGGTCATTTCTAACAAAGATAATTAGCACTAATGAATTAAAGGAGGTGCATGAAACAGACAGTGAATGTTCAAGAGCCACTTCTGTGATATGAATAATGTAGTGTTGAGCTGCTCGGTGACTTACATACTGTACTGGTCTGTCCATCAACGCCACAGCCTTCAGGAGAGGAAATGACGAGCACGGGACATCTCCTCTGTGAGCACACATACAAAAAAGGCTTTACAATACTGGAACAAGCAGAGACAAGCCAGCAGCGCATGAATATTTTAGATTCTAACCCTGTCAGAATGGTGTTAATTTGTAAAACCAACTTGTAGAGTACTTTTTGAGTGTGTATTCAAATGCTGACTTGCCATTTCGATTTTATAGTAGTCACAGCAAGGGTATAAGTATGTGGGTTCCTGTGTTTTTTGCTCTGCGTCCCCCCTCCCTTTGGTTCACCGAAAAGCTGAGAGGCATTCACACCTACATCATATTCACCTGTCATTAAAACACTGGTTCAGACTCAACTTCTCTGCCTAATTATTCCATGGACATGTCAGTGAACGACTTCGACCCATGTTTATTTTTTACCTACTTCCTTGATTATTTATTCTTATCATGTTTGTCCTGTGCTGAGGTTCGATCATCAGGCCGACCAACCCGCTTCCTGTCACCCGTTTGCCAATGTATCTTTTGTGATTAAATATTTGTTGTTGTTAATTCCTACCTCGTCCCAGACTCTGCTTTGGGGTCCAACAGCAAAACAAAATCCAAATTACAATGATTATCGAAATTATTCAAATTTACTACGGCCGCATGAGAAATTGCAATCATATAGTATTTTTTCTGGCCACAATTAGCAGAAAACAAAGACTGATTATGTATTTAGATTACAGTAATCTATTTATTTATCCCTGTGTTGAGGAACAGGTTTAGAAACACAATTTAAGTTCAGATGGTGTGTACACTGGTCCCTACCACATAAATAAATCTCTTTCTCTTAATTTATGTGCATTTTGAATTTTGTCTGGTATGGGAAAGGACTGTCCAATTCTATCTAACTTAATTTTAAACACAGTAGGATTTAATGGGAATTTTCTTGTTGAATGTTTTCAACTGGTTTCAGATAAAAATTTACATATTGAATTGTAATCGCTTTTAGATATTGAATAAGATTGTGCAGCCCTAATATGAACTTTTTGTGATCACATGTGAGCGCATAAAGAATTTCTGTTGCAACAAGAGACACTATAAAAAGGACTATATAAGGATACAAAGTTGGGGAAGAAACTGATGCAATTCTAGAGTAAAGGAGACATTTCTGCACATTGAGTGTTAACGTCACCAAGATGCATGTCCACTCTTAACAACCGAGAACCCCAGGCCATTTTTGATGACACGAGCTTATGCCTCATTGATTTCATCTATTGAGCCGATGTGAGAAGGCGCTCAATGAAGATTTGTAAAAAGCTGTATAAGCATTTTTACAGTTGTGTGCATTCAAAGGCCCCTTCTGTTCCACTGTCATACTCCAGACTGAGCTGCTGGGCTGCATAATCAACCTAATGATTACACACACAATGAAGTCATGGTCTGAAAAGACATTTTTGATTTCCCATATTTACAAAAGCGGTTTGTCCTGGATGTCCTCCTTCCTCTCCTCCTGGTCGGCCTGTACTCATCGACCCAGAAAGTCCTGAGTATCCAGTGATAACAATAGATCCGCCTTCGCTTCAGTGGAAAATGGCCATCGGAGAATCAGAGGGAAGGCGCTGGGGAGTCAATGAGAGCGTGAGTAGGACACAGGACAGAAGAGACGGAAGTTTTGTTTCTGATTGTTTACAGGAATTCACAAAAAAATATCACAAAACACTGTCGCTTTACACCTATCCCTGCAAAAAAGGGAGATATTCACTAAACAAAATTGAATTATAACTGGAACAATATTTGGCCTCTTAAGTAAATGTTGTTATTTGTGTTTTATTTAGTAATTTCTTATCTAGTAAGATTAACTTGACTGAAATGGCTGAGCTACTCCTTGAAGGTGAGATCTATTCAACGGTGAAAGCTTCTTTGTTAGGGTCATCATTTATAATCTATAATTTAGTTTGCATGTTTAATACTTTGGAGCATATGATACATTTTCATATGTTCAGACTATTTATGTAAATCATACTTACAGTAAATACATGTTGGCACGTCAAAGAGTATATTTATTGGTTTGAAGCATTCATCTAACCGTAGTCATCATGGTTAGGTGAGGACATGCTAACAGCACGTGGGGCGTTAGCAAAACTAAGCTACTAGCGCTACAATTAGCGCGCTACAATGCAAACATGTTTAGCAGCAGAAAGGTTATAAAATAGTTACTTTTGGGAGTTCTTACCTAAAACTTGCAACATACTTGTGATGAAAAGCAGAGTCCGTGATGAATTCGAGGCTCTTGGAGGGACACAGACAGAACCAGACAGACCACAGACCTCAGAGCATGGACCTGTAAACGCCATGATGGGGTGGTCTGCATTTATTAAATCATCCATGGTGTGATTTGGAAAAAAAAATACAGTATATGCAACTGCGCCTAATATTAATGGTGAGGCAACTAACATAATTTATTTCATTCATTAATTCCTGCATTTAATACAAATCTGACATTTTACCATAGAAAAAATTGTAACCACCAGCACTGATTTTGTTTACACCAGACATTTGAAACTAATTAATAGTTTATGTTATGTTTTCTTTCCAAAGACTGGATATGCGTGTACTATATATGCATAGAAAGGACATTAGCTTCAGGCTGCATTCAAAGGAAAATCATTCATCTGAGTCTGCTTGCATCCTTCGCTATCTGCAGTGATCAATAAGGAGAATGTTACTTTGGGATGTCTTTGCAGAAGAGAGGTCAATGAAGGGTAATGTGCTGTGAAAATAACGAATGTGACTCCACACACGAAGGTACACTTTAGTCAATCTGCTGGGACCAGACTCAAAGGTCAAGTATAAGCACAGAGGAGGCAGTGCGTGCAGGGAAATATACTATTTCAATTCTACTTTATTTCCTATAGCATCCTTATGGCCTGTTTAAAGACGCTATGCAATGCAATAATTAGTGCTTCAAAAAATTTCTGAGCATTTTTAGTGCGTCGTCCCAATCATGTTTGAACCACATCAACTATATTTAATTAATCGATTTACCACCGGGACGAGTGCATTGTGAATTGAAAGGCAGCTCTGATTGCCACCTCCTGATCCAGATAAATAGAGGGATGAAAATGATTAAATGAGCTATACTCTGATTTAAGCACAAGGTTTTATGACTGTAGCTATCACAGAATGAAATGTAAAGTATTTTTTAAAGATCATTTATTTCAATTATTCTTGTGTGGAGAACATTAGCTTAAATTTGTTTTGGTCAGCTATAGAGAAAAGACTCTTAGATTGCTTTGTCCTTAGATTACATTTCAACATAACACATAGATACACATCAATCCCATCAATAATCTAACATAAAATTACAAGATATTAGAGACATAGTGAAAGGTGAGCTCATGGGGCATAAGCAAAACTGTGAGCTCAATGTTTTGCAAAACCATTCCATTTACAAGCAGCATAATGAGAGACAGCTACAAAAGGACCAGTGAATAGAAAGTATTTCAGCTTGAAAGAAAAGCACGGAATGTAAAAACATTGCCAGATTCTCATCCGGTTACTAACATTATTGCTACTAAAGTAATCATATCAGTCCTTTAATCATCATAACAAAACCAGGACCTCACACTAATGCCTTTCAGAATCCTAAATTAAATCTCACTTACAGCCCACCCACATCCATCTAAGTCCATGCAATGATTTAATTTGACTTATCAGTATGAACATTAGCACACGGCTTCTTATATATTTCCCTTGCCTTTTGCCAACATGCATATTTGTACCGGGTCCCATGTCCTCTTCAGAGTCCACACGTGGCTGGCTCTATAAATACATAAAGTGCTGTTTCCTAGGTAACTGCTCAATGGAGAATAGGCCACCAGAAATCGAGATGGAGAGGAGCGATAAGTGGTCGCTGTGGCACTTTTGACAGTCACAAGCCTCACGCTGGCACGCTTCATGACATATCACCACTCCAACAGCTGTGGGCAAGAGGTAAACATTGACTTTGCTGGAGTAACGTATATGTGTCGTTTTATTTCAGAGTTATTGCCTAATTGCATGCAAACTTGTGCTCTTCTACTACTTCAATCTGGAGAGACGAACAGAAACAAACAGGGGCTTTATAAGAATTGTATATTGGTTGGCAAGTAACTGACACTGCATAAAGTTAAACACACAACTCTGAAGACAGTATTTGCAAGATTTATTGTTGCTGTATGAGAATTGTGGTTAAGGTTTGGAACTTAGACCCCGGAAGAGCAGAGCATGATGATTGCAGAAGGGGAAATGAAGATAGAGATTATGAGATGAAGTCCCCCGGTGTCTAGAGACTCTGGTGGAGGTAGGTAGAGATGGGAGAAGAGCTGGATTGGCTGACGAGGAGGAGATGGGGAGGAGGAGGGTTGCTGCATGAATGAAAGCTGCTGATTGAATTAAGTCCTTAGTTCCACTACTACTATACGGCTACTACTATAACTGATACTACTACTACTACTACTACCTGTTTGTTGCTATGGAAATGCTGTCCTCTTGCTACAATTTTGGCATTAATTATTACATTTGGCATTAAACGTATCTAATATTACAGAGAATCGTCAATTTAACTGAATATGTTATAATATAATAATATTTTTGTATTGTTAAAAACAGTCGATTCACCAACAACAGATATTTATACATCAATATTTCTGTCTTCCCCAACTTCCTTCTAATACTGTCTGTCCTCATTTTCAGTGTTGGAATATGCGTTTTAAATGGGACTTTACCTCCCTCCAGTGGTTATAGTTGGACATTGCAAACCTTTATCAGTAATGTCCATCATACCCAGGCCTACATTGTCTCTCATGTAGACATAGAATAACTTTATACATCTGAACCAAAAACTCAGTGAACACAACATTCCTCATCAATATTTATTATAGTGAATACATTATGTGTTTAAAAGCACTTATTTATATATAAATTATCTTGGAAAGTTAAAGCAACACGTGATAGCTCTTGAAAAACACAGAGTAAACTTTTGGTTTTGCCCATCAAGTACCTTTTGAATGAATAATGAATGCACTTACAGTCCATAAGAAAAAATACATTCAGTTAAACAAAAATTATAAAATATAAATACAGCTGGACCCTTATTCAAAGTATTCCCTGATTCGATTTAATTAATTTGAGTAATATTAGTGTCTGGTCTACGTGTGTATCTACATTGTTGTGTCTGTTGCCATTTTAAAGGCTGTGCGAATGACATCAGAAATCCAGGATACAGAAAACACCCAAATGATTCATACAATGTGCCAGCTTCATAATGACAATTAAAAACTGGTTTGGGAATGTTAAGACAGCAGCAACACAATAGTATCTTTTCCTTTGTACAATCCCAATGCAGACCCCACCACCCATCTACACATGCACAAGTCAAGCATGTATTAAAACAAAAAGTTTAAATAATTGTACATTTATTGGAGAAAACGAGATAACAGAGCAAAAACTTCTGTTCCACGATGCAAACCCAGTGCATTGTAATGAGCCCCCTTCATATATGTAAACATGCACACAAGCATTTATTGCAATGGTTTTATCAAGTGTGAGTGAAGTTCAAAGTGCTAAATAATCAAACAACATCAAAAAGTTCCTACGTCTTTGCTTTTCAATACCAAATCGATAATTCCAATCTATCATATTAGCCATTAAGTATATACTGAGATTAGTGTAGCATAGGAGGAGTATCCATAATCCTTGGTTAGAGATTATAGCTGCAGAAAGAACAGTGCAAAGGTTTTTAGTCTTGTCTTTTTTTGGGCACTGGTTTAAACAGATTATTAGAGTGAAAGTGAATGCATCAAAGGCACAACAGGGATTCAACCACTCACACACACACACACACACACACACACACACACACAGAAGGATTACAAACCAGGTGGCCACGAATGCATTAGTTTCTATATATTTTTGGATTATTTTGATGCAAGTCCAACCGATCACCTGGCAGTTTATCCTAATTGTGCTAAAACGCGTCTAATTCTGTTCAAGAATTAGACGCGTTGAATCATCGCAGACGTTATGCACCCAGAGATTCTACACCAGAATAATGTCACACTTTGGTCAGCGTTTTGTGAGAACAGAGCTGGACAGATTGCAGAAAAAACACAAATATTTGTTTAATAAGTTGTAAAAATTGCCTCAAATTAGCTTGACAAATTTATTTTGACTTTATTAAGGACATATAAGCAGGCACATGATCTAGATCTAATAAAATAATACAACATAAAATGCTTAAAGAGCAGAGTATTGTATTTTATGAACATTTTATAGATTACAGAATGTGTTTTGATTCCCTGTATGTATGAAGTTTCTGTAAATGACTCAACTGATGGGACGCATATTTACCAACATAAATATTTGTTTTTCCCTTGCGTTTTTATCCAGTTGTGTAGTAATTGTTGCAAAGCCCACAATGCATGTTTTGTGGTAATTTCTGTTTGTTTGACTATAAATGATACCGTGATAATAATATGCTGCATAAAGTTTAGATCTATTACCCACGTCAGCACAGGTCAGACATTGGATTTTTCCACAAACACACACACACACACTCACACACACACTCACACACTCTCACACACACACTCACACACACACAGCTGTAGAGGGCACTGGCCAAAAGTCCAACAGATAAGAAAAGAGAGAAATGAAGACAAGTGATCCACTGTAGCTCAGGGTAAACACAGACAGGAGATATGTCCTATTCAAATATTAATGACTCTTCTTGAGCTCGTTTGAGAGCCAGTCCAGTCCCTCGTACAGGCCGTCTCCGCTGGTGGCACACGTGGCCTGGATGTACCAGCTACGGTTACGCAGTTGATGTAGGCCCAGTTTATCAGTCACTTCTGCCGCGTTCATCGCATTGGGAAGATCCTGGAAGATCATTTTGGTTCAATATGTTAGAACTGCATTACAGATATCGACATTGTAATCTATTGTGACTTTGGTGTCTGTGGGTAAACATACACATCATGGTGCTATAAGAAGTGCATTTATAACAACATAGACTTTCCCCGACTCTTCTGACCACCGACACACACTGGTTTCACTGAATTTATCTGCTGTCTTTCTGAATATGTGATACGTTGATAATTTCTCATTTGCTCCAAGGAAAATATCATTGGCCTTTTACGTGACCATGTTTCACTTTCAGGTTGCTTAAAGTTCATGTCAGCAGCTTTGATTACATTTTATTGTTAAAGTGATAGTCTGGAACTCTAAATGAATTACAAATTTTACGAATTGTATTAAATTGACCTCCTGGCCTTAAATGTTGATATAAAATAAGTCATTTTATTCATTCTAATATTACGGGTAAGTCCCGCCTTCCCTTCTCTTAGCTATAGCTCAGAATCCACGATGCCGTCCACGTTAACCAATCAAGTCATGCCAAGGGCTGTCAATCATCGGCGCTCATGCTCGTAGCATCGGCGCGTATGCTCAGTTGTTTGTTTTCATGGAGCCTCCATTAGGCTCTGGAACTACATGAAAACTGAACAAAGAATTCTGAACATCAGCGCTGAGTTACCCATTTATATACTGAACCTATATCCATAATCATTTATATACTGAACCTATATCCATAATCATTTATATACTGAACCTATATCCATAATCATTTATATACTGAACCTATATCCATAATCATTTATATACTGAACCTATATCCATAATCATTTATAAACTGAACCTATATCCATAATCATTTATATACTGAACCTATATCCATAATCATTTATATACTGAACCTATATCCATAATCATTTATATACTGAACCTATATCCATAATCAGATCCTCTGCAGATGTGTCCTATAATGTGCAATTTATGATACTAACTACTTCCGGATTTGCCACGATCGCTTTTTTTGTACATTAAAACATTATTTTTTTCATGAAAACGTTAACATTTTAATGTGTTACGGAAACATAGGCGTAGACCAATCAGAAAGGAAGGGGGAGGGAGCTTGCGTCGTTTTTTTCAAATCAAGTACCTCTGTCTTTTTTTCTGACAAAATCCAAACAATCACTTTAAAAGATTAATTCACCAGTCTAATTTGACATTAAAAAAGTATCCTATAGCTACTAAAATGTAAGTGCTAAGTCCTCTACCACAAAAGAAATGCACAAATTAGCCGCATTACTATATAAGCCGCAGGGTACAAAGAACAAGAAAATAATATCAGCTTTATTTCAGTAAATATAGAATTATTCAGACTTGTTTCTTTTTACCATTCTATCAATTTTGAGATGTGAAATGTATTGCACAATTCATCACTTTAGTATCAGGCCAACGCATGCTACGTCTTATTTATTTATGTGGAAAGCAGAACTCACCTGTTTATTTGCAAATACCAGGAGCACAGCGTCCCGGAGCTCGTCCTCGCTCAGCATCCTGCTCAGTTCTTCTTTGGCTTCAGTGAGTCGCTCCCGGTCGTTACTGTCGACCACAAAGATCAGCCCTGCACACACAACCGTTCATTTGCCTCTCCCCCCAGTGTGACATTCAAAATATTGGGATTTATTGCAAACCTTGTGTGTTTTGGAAGTAATGTCTCCACAGGGGTCTGATTTTGTCTTGGCCACCCACATCCCACACTGTAAAACTAATGTTCTTATACTCTACAGTTTCCACGTTGAAACCTACAAGACAAAGAGAAGATACATAACAATTCAAATTGACAAAGCAGGACTAGGACTGTCAAACGATAAAACAAAATTATCGAGTTAATTACAGCTTTTTTGATCGTATTAATTGATCGTAATTAATTGCATTTCGAACTATCAGCAAAATGCCATATTTTTCTGAAAATGGTTGTTTGAATGGATAGATAAATGCCAACATAGTGAACATATGTACTGTATTAGTTAATTATAACAATAAATCCATATAAAATGGCATTAACATTATTAACATTCTGTCTTTCTGTTTAGACTCAGACCAAAACTATTGTTTGTTACAGATGAGGGACATTTCAAAACAGTCTGAAATGCAGAATGTCATTAAATCTGTCATGAACTGGTAGTGGAAGGGAAAATTAAGTACCCCAGCTTTAATTTAGCGAGTGCGCTTCGGGAGAAGACACGGAGGAGACTGAGACTCCGTAGTCCAGCTTCTGTGCTGTATTTTTTGTGTGCACAGCGCACCAGTTACGCAAAGAAACGCACATTACAATCAGAATAGTTCTGTGCGTGGCCTTGGATATGATCACGTTACGCACGTTATTAAAAAATGAATTAACGTGAGTTAACGCGAGAATTTTGACAGCCCTAAGCAGGACATAAAATATACATAAAAACGTTACGTCAAAACAACATAGGTGCGATCCTTGAATTACAGTTTTCCAAGTGTGATGAAACTTACCAATTGTTGGGATTGTGGTAACGATTTCTCCCAGTTTCAATTTATACAATATGGTTGTTTTTCCAGCTGCATCTAATCCAACCATCAGAATTCTCATATCTTTCTTCCCAAAGAAAGATGAAAACAGCTTCGCAAAAGCCATACCCATTTTGGTAATCTAAAAAAGAGAGAAGAGAACAGCTGTATGATGAAGGCGCCGAAGTCAAACACACAGATATAAAAGTAAGTTAATGCCGGTAGAGAATTATCATAGTAAATATTTGTTTAGTATGTACTGCATCAACTTGTACAGGACCTGGTGATCTCCAGCACTATGTTATCTTTGCTGTCTGTAACTACTGTATTTACCATGAAGCTAAAGATTATCATAGATTTTAAGAAGGAAGAATTTGCAGTCATCTTGTTTCGTATAATATTTATTCTTTTTTATTTTATTTTAATTTTTTATTTACATATACAAACAAAGCTTTTACATAACGCACATACGGAGGAGCGATACGGAAGGGCAGGGGGCTAGACAGATACAAATTGGTTCTTGAGGGCTTAGGTGGTTGTGCATAGTGTTTGGGTGTGTGTAGTGTGTGTAGTGTGTGTTGTGTGTGTGTTGTGTGTGTAGTGTGTGTGTGTGTGTAGTGTGTGTAGTCTGTGTTCTGTGTGTAGTCTGTGTTCTGTGTGTAGTGTGTGTTGTGTGTGTAGTGTGTGTTCTGTGTGTAGTGTGTGTAGTTTGTGTAGTGTGTGTGTAGTGTGTGTTGTGTGTGTAGTGTGTGTTCTCTGTGTAGTGTGTGTTCTGTGTGTAGTGTGTGTTGTGTGTGTAGTTTGTGTAGTGTGTGTTCTGTGTGTAGTGTGTGTAGTTTGTGTAGTGTAGTGTGTGTGTGTGTGTAGTTTGTGTAGTCTGTGTTCTGTGTGTAGTGTGTGTTGTGTGTGTAGTGTGTGTTCTGTGTGTAGTGTGTGTAGTTTGTGTAGTGTGTGTGTAGTGTGTGTTGTGTGTGTAGTGTGTGTTCTGTGTGTAGTGTGTGTTGTGTGTGTAGTTTGTGTAGTGTGTGTTCTGTGTGTAGTGTGTCTCTAGAATTTAATTTGATTGAACTACGGCTGAAAAAAGTCATTGCAACTAATTGAACATTTGAAACAGTTGTCAAGTAATTTAGTAAAATGATTAATCCATGTTTGGACCTTGCCTTTAATTGAAATGTAAAGTGCACAATAAAACTAAACGTATTATATTATTAGCATCATTACTAAAACATGCTGAGAAAAGGTTGTATGACTCAGACAATTATAAGTTTGCAGAATGAACCCAGCCCAACGTGAAGTCATCTCTCTGTGAAAATGTTCTGCAAATGTACAAACAAATCCCATATTCACGGACAAACTAATCTAGATTATAATCATGGATTACAGCCAAATTTCTCCACGCTCGGACAAATAAAGGATTTCTTATCTAAACTTACCTGATAATCATTAAATCTAGAGATAATTCTTTCAACTAATCAATCTGTTGTTTGGAACTCAAAGGTTATATTATCTCAGTTTGACACGGATGCAACCGGAAGACTTCCTTATATATTTTTTTTTCCTCCAGGACAGAATATTTTTTAAGTTAAAAAATATACACTACCGTTCAAAAGTTTGGGGTCACATTGAAATGTCCTTAATTTTGAAGGAAAAGCTGTAGATAACTTTAAACTAGTCTTCACTGTAAAGAAATACACTCTGTACATTGCTTATGTGGTAAATGACTGTTCTAGCTGCAAATGTCTGGTTTTTGGTGCAATGTTGTAATTGCTGCAAATGGAGGATTCTTTGACGAAAGCAAAGTTTGATGTAAAACAAATCTTATTTCCATTACAAATCATTTATTTCTAACCTTGTTATGTCACAACGTATGGTGGTGAATAAGTGAGACTTTTCATGGTGACCCCAAACTTTTGAACGGTAGTGTATATTTACACAACTCCTGATTATTTTATTATGTAGTCACTGTTCTGTTAAGTCTGAAAATCGCATTTCTCTTCATATCAATGTTTTGGAATATGAAAAAAGAATCGATAATTATAATAGACAATTATTTAAACTCTTTATGACTTGACTGATAGTTACAGCTTTTTGGAAATGGCACAACATCTAAAAGAGTAAATCCTAATCTTAGCATCAACAAACCACGTTGTTACAAAATGAAGGAAGAAAAGATTTAACACCAAAGAATGGGGTTTTTTCGACTGTAAATTATTAAGTAAATTGCCCTGGCAGTATATCAGCACTGGTGTGACAGCTGCTGACGGACAAGATCACACTTGTTCTGTTTTTTTAAATATTTTAGGTAAAGAGAGATAACCAAGTAATCGTACAGAGCTATTCCAAACACTCAGGCAGCTACAATGGAGGAGGAAGGGAGGGATACTGGTTTACTCCAAACCAGTCGGGCAGGTTCAGCTTCCATATTTACACGTAACTATCGATGATGTTGGAACTTTGTCCACGTTGCTTCAGTTCACGTGTAAATGTGTGAATGTCAATCCTAATGTGGAGAGGACATAAAAATCATGACATGGGCTGAAATAACAGGCGCAGTATGGCAACATAGGAGACTGCATAATTCATTGTAACCCAAGCTGACGTCTTAATATTGCAGACGGTTAAGAAGAGGCTCAATAATGCACCAGCCCATTCATAAAAGCAACTAAATCCAACCAGCACAGCCACACCTACGCTGCTCCATAAAACTGTGTAAGTTTTATTGCAAAGTACAGCTATAGCTTAAGTGACATCACATATGTGCTGGGGTTATGGTAGATTGATAGCAAAGATTGCATTAATGGACAGGTAATAAAAACTAAACTTGTGATTGAAAAATAATAATAATAATAATAATAAATTAGACAATGAACAATGCAGACATAGTGTTAATCATTTGTTGCCAGGTTCAATAACAACTCGAGCTAATCTCCTCTGAATAAGTAGTCATAATAATAATGTGCTGAGGTTTTGGCAGGTTAATACCAAAGATTACATACATGGACAGGTGATTGATTTAAAAAATACAGAGAAATTAGACCATGGACAATGCATAGTCAGACATATTGTTGTTGCCAGGTCCAAATACAACCCTCAATACTATACAGTGTTCCAAGAGTCCCGTCCCACCGATTCAAAATGAAAACATATTGAATGAAACGTGGTATATTTGCTGGTCTTTGGTGTAAATGTGTGTTTAGATAGTGTTAAATGGAGCTGTACCTGTGTGTTGACAGCAGTGGAGTCTCCGATGCTGTGTCGCTGTGTTTCCGGGTTCGTTCTGCTGTCAGTGGAGGAGCTCAGGAAACAAGAGCTTTAGCGCCCCCTCCTGGACACGGAGAGAAGGCAGTTCAGCACCCGGTTCCTGCTTTGGCTGTAATATTCAGAAGTGGTAGAAGTACTTTTAGGGACTGAAGGTTTTTTTGCATTATTTAATTGATGGGGACAGTGCATCTGTAGAAAGATAAATGGATAGATAGATAGATAGATAGATAGATAGATAGATAGATAGATAGATAGATAGATAGATAGATAGATAGATAGATAGATAGATCAAATGATGTGTTTTCTTTGTGTGGGTGGATGAGTTTTTGCTGCTACTGAACACCTGCATTTCTGCTACAGTGATCAATAAAGTATCTAAAGAGGGGGATGGATGGATAGATAGATAGATAGAGAGAGATAGAGAGAGCGAGAGACTTTATTGGTATGGTATGGTATGGTTTTTATTTTTACAGGGACAGTGTACAATAAACATTAGCCAGAAGGAGAGATGCATTGTACCAGGTTATAGCAGCAGTGCTAATTAACACCTGTAGTCCCTGAGCAGGTTGTTGTAAAACAGTAAAATAAAAGTAGATGGATACATTACCATGCATTATCAGACATACATTACAATTTAATTCATCACAGATTAAATTATAATAAAATAAAATAAAACCACCCAGCCCCCATTCTTTGATACAATCCTACACTGAACTCTCTCTCACACACACACGCACACACACATACACCCAGACAAGCACAAACACACACACACTTATTATACTCTCCTGTCTGCATAGGTTTCCTCTAGTCTAGATGATTATCACCTTTGATAATATGTTTTCATTGCACACTATATGAGTTGTAATTATGCAAAATGAGCAGGTGTTGAAAAACAATAGAGCGATCATGTGTACTGGAAGAGGAATAGTTACAGCCTGAAGTGCCCCAGGGCCTTTATGTACGAGCCAAAAGCAGACTAGGCTTTCTTCCTTCCTACAGATGCAGTAGCCCAGTGTTTGGAACCTGGAGGGATGCTGCCCTCTAGTGATACGCAAGGGTACGACAGTTGATAGTTGACGTGATTTTCAAAAGTTGAAACAGTGATAGTAAGAGGTTCATATGGCATACTAAGACATATGATACCTGAAGGGTAGTCTATTTTTCCGGAAAAATATATATATAATGTCCATCCATCCATTTTCTTCCATTTCTGGGTCGGCGGGGTGGCAGTCAGTGCTGCACAGTACACTTAGCACCAGCCCCTCACTGATCCTCCTGCAGGTGCTGAGTCCACAGGAGCCTTAATTATTCAACAGGGGCTTCAGGCAAAGTGGGGTTAAGTGTCTTTCCCAAGGACACAACGACAGCAGTCATCAGTGGGAGTCAACGTATATTCTAAACATTGAACCCAGTAGACAATTATGCAGCTATATGCAGAAGGCCAGCTTGAAATAACAGTTGGTCTATTTTTGAGTAATCACAAGATTATCTTTCTTTTGGTCCAGTGATTCAGTTCAAGAATGTACTTTTTATTCAGAAAAAATGAATAAAATAAGTTTAATAAAAAAAATAATGTTGTCAAAACGTCATATGTTATATTCAACAAATACAATTTAATTCAATGCAAAATTATAATTTGTAAACACACCTTTTACAAAGGAAACATGACTCAAATGACTGTGAGTCCAGAAAATAAATATACCAATAAGACCTTGGAGTATTACAGCTAAGTCTAAAACAGTGGTCATCATTCCCCAGTTCGACTTCTCTGGAGAACGTGACAGATTTTTCCTGCTTTAACAACAGGAGTCACTAATGCTCTGAATGCGCTGGTGATGGAGGCATAGAACTAAAGGTTGGGAACCACTGCAGTAGCCATACGCGTAATAATGTGGTTGGAACAATACTTCCCAGCAGCGCGCACCTGGCCGTGTGACGTCACTGCGCGCCTCAGTCCAATGGGGATGCTGCACAGGGATGTGCCTGTGTGCCCTGCCTGCAGCAGACCTGTGGCCCCGCGCAGAGGAGCCAGTCTGTGTGGGGCCCTTAAAGAGGTGCTTCAGCTCAGACGGCAAAGACTTTCTCTGTTCAAGAAACAGCGAGATGAAGAGCATCGCCAACTCGGACCATGGGCTCCAGGCTTCCACGGACCGCCTGCCTCCTGCGACTCATCGGGCTGTGCATCCTGCTCTCACACACTGCCGCGTACTTTGGGTCAGCAACTTTTACGTTTATCTCCTCACTCTCTATTCTGTGCTTGTTTTATTTATGACAGGTGTTAGGCTATCATTCACAACCTGCAAACCAATTACGCACAAGTATTACACACAAGGAGCTTGAGAGGGCATATCCTTATTTTAAAGTTATTTTTTGCAGATTATGAGCGGGGCAGGCCATTTTTTATCAGGAATCATGTGAATTGACTTTAGTTCATGCAGTTAATACAGTTTTAAACATTCAATTATCTTTGTCAGAAGTTTCATGGTCTTGTAACTTCTGGTTCTTCCCTCTGCTGCAGGCTGACAGGACGGGAGCCCTTGGTCTTTCTGCCCGGACCCATCTCCAGTGACGCTCCTCAGGGGAAGTCTCACCTGAAGCAGTGCGAGCAGATGAGCCTGACGCGGCGGCAGAAGAGGCTCTGTCGTCGGGAACCGGGACTGGCTGAGACCCTGCGGGAGTCTGTCCGCCTCAGCCTCCTCGAATGCCGCTACCAGTTCAGGAACGAGCGCTGGAACTGCAGCCTGGATGGACGCGGGAGCTTACTGAAGAGAGGTGCGTGCAAATAACTAGTGATTATTATTTCAATACACAAGTTATTATTGTGGTCCAGCGACAAGGAGCGCATTGAACAAACAAATAAGGCATTCCAGTTTAGATTGACTTGGTAATGCTTTTTCCTTATTTCTCCTTCCATTTTGTTTTCATAATATCGAGGTTTTTAATATTGTGGTATTTTTTTATCAGTGTGATTGATTTTCTATGTCAGAATCCAGATCAGCTGGTTTATTATATAATGAAAACAAATGAAAATCAACACTGAAAAACCTGACAATGTAAATTAGAAGTGATTCGTGGTTTATAGCAGATCATACCCTGCTCTTTCTGACTTTTCTCAACAAACTGACTTTTAACTTAGCCTGTGTGCCAAAGATTTTGTTTGCTCCTTTCACACATTAATCTCTTTGGAAAGGCATTTTTTTGTAATTTTAGGCTCTACATATTTGATAGTGTTAAAATAGGCCATCCTGGAAATACCTTATTGTTAATGCTGGAGCTTTTGCAAGTTGTGCATAAATGAAAATACATAATAAACTAGTAGATATTGACCACTGTATGATAATCTTTCTCAAACTTTCCTGACGCCTAAAGTTTGTCTTGAAATGCAGCGTTATAGATCCGTGTCTCTCCAGCTGCAGAGCGTGGCTGCTTTGATGCTTATACATATGGATATGAGTGTGTGGGAGAGCACACACAGGTCAGTGGAGCTAATGAGGGAGTACGGAGCCAAACGCTGTGGTGTGGCCCAGTGGACTGCTGTGGTTATTTTTATCTGACGGAAAGCGCCCATTCCCAGAGGAAAAGGGTGGCGCGATTATCCACTTTCATCTTGGAAATGCCTTCCTAGTCAAAATAATAATTAATTGGTTCAAATTGAATGTCTCTAGGGTAAGCAAACAACAATGTGTGACCAGAAAGAAAAGACCAGAGGGTAAATGACATAACAGGCTGTGGCTGAGGATCATTTGTAAACTTTGTTAACGTCAGTCAAAACAAATCATGATTATAGATCTCTATTACTTGTTTTGATGCTATTCCGATACTATTTACTATTAGAATACTATTAGATTGACAATTAATTTACTTACTAGTGGTAATTATCAAAATATTGTACAGCCAGTCTATCTCTCTTTTGTCCAGTGCGGATCTATGACTCCATGAAACAACGTTGTCTGCAGGAAATAACATGAAAAGATAGATTTGGTCAAGTGCACCCCAGCTGTGTTGCGTTACTTCATATTGAAAATTGCATCACCAGGAATACCATAACTCTGTCTGCTAAATTTTAATGTCACAATACAATATTTTCAATTCTATTTGGATTTAAATGAATTGGTCGAATAGGGTCTATGTCCAGTGATGATGTTGGAAAGAGATCTTTGAAAATCAATTGGATTTTCCTGGTTACATGAGGTTTAAAGGATGCCGATGTTGATAACCCGATGATGAATGTGATCAATATGTTTTCATTTTGAATTCAAGTCAATGATAAATCTGAGTTTTGATACTAGTTTTAAAATCACTTAAAGGCAGGGTACTTCACTTTCAAACCACAAACAATGAACACCGTCATATAATTTCAGTTCCCAACTCTCTCACTTTGGGTCTATCACTAGTTTTCACTTTCTTGCTTTTTTTGGCCTCTGTCACATCTTTAGATCAGTTTCTTTGGACAGAATAGTGAGGACCAATCTCGAGTCTCAACCCAATTCGTGATTCTAGTTTTTTAGTAAACGCAAATACGATAAAGAGAGCATTTTGTATGTATGTTACTTTTATCCAAATGTATTATTCAAGAAAGAAAAACAAGTGATTGGCAACATCTATGTACTTTTTATTCCTGGATAATCTCAGTCAGACATAATAATTTCAAGTTGCCTGTCAGCATGGAGCCTTCTTGTATCAACTACTCATTTACCCATCACCGGTGGATTTAGCTGATCTGTTTTATGTCCCCTCCAGCCTTCAAAGAGACCGCATTCCTCCTGGCTGTGTCTTCGGCTGCCCTGACCCACGCCCTGGCCAAGGCCTGCAGCTCGGGACGCATGGAGAGGTGCACGTGCGACGACTCCCCAGGGATCCAGCACCGCGAGGCCTGGCAGTGGGGCATCTGTGGGGACAACCTCAAATACAGCACCAAGTTCATCAAGAAGTTCCTAGGCCAGAAACGAGTCAGCAAGGACCTGCGGGCACAAGTCGACGCCCATAATATTAACGTCGGAATTCGGGTAAGTGTGGGTAAACAACGGCGGGAGGAAACATATTACATAAATTGTTGTTTGGAGGATTATCACACGTGTTTTATCGCCTTCTGTCCCGGAGGCGAGACTTTATGTGAGGCTGCGGCGGACTGCAATTAGTTGGGATGTGCTTTTACAAGACAATTATATGTCTGATAGAGTGCCATCAGGGCTAGTAATGTTATGGAGCGCCAACTGTGACAAAAACGCCACGGAATGACGGTATATCAGTGTTTTGTCCTGCCTAACAAAAACAAGGTACTGTCTTGACAACCAAAACTTGCTTAGGATTCCACAACTGTACCAATTTGGAGAAAAAGCAGGAAGTAAAATTTAATAAAGTAATCTACTGGGTGACACAGTGGTGCAGTGGTTAAAACTTGGTCCTGGGTCCTGGGTCCTGGGTTCGATTCCACTTCAGCCTGGGCCATTTTGTGTGGAGTTTACATGGAATAGTAAGAGTAATTGTAATTTCTTTCGGTCAAATTGTCATTTACAGAATACATTTCAACAGAAGAAGCATTGACATTAATTCACTGACTGAAAGGGTTATGGCTGAAGTTAAACGCTTATTCAAAGCCTAACCCTCTTTAAAAAAAAAAAAAAACGAAATCAAACTCAAACATCCAAGAAAACGGCAAAGAAGAAAAACAAACAAACCTTTACATGTTCTTGCCGTGTCTGCATAGGTCCACCATGCCTCTCTTGTATGGCGTCTCAGCTCCCATCACTGTCTGTAGTGAGAGGGGTAGTGAGAGAAAAATGGCCACAATAACTATAGCTTTAAGATAAGATACGATAGGTTTTATTGATCTCACACTGGAGAAATGTACTTTGTGACTTTGTATGTGAGAAGCGTCATATATATATGAAAAGATTACTTACTAACTTGCAGTAAGCATATAATCTATAATAATGTTAGATAGATTTCTAGATGACCAAAGAAAATGCATTTGAGAACTCCATGCTGTCAGTATAGTAGCATCATAGAGTGGTTTCCAATTGACATCACGCCCCCGTACAAACAGCAACACATAAAGGAACATGACCAGACTATTTGTACAGGAAGAAACCCGAATGTAAACAGCCGGCGTATCTAAAGTCACCTCAACCTCTCTCTGTGTAACACTTTCTGTGACAGAGTGGTTAACACACTCTCACTTATCTGCAACTGCAAGAAGGTCCTATAGGTGCAAATCCTGCTCAAAACAGGGCTAGAAAATAAACTTTTTATGTCACTGTCTGTTTCTGCATAGGTTTCCTCTGGGTGCTCCGGTTTCCCCTACCACTAAAATCATGTGCAATAGATCAAATGCTCAAGCTTCATGTCCCTGTCTGTTTCTGCATAGGTTTCCTCTGGGTGCTCCGGTTTGCCCTATCACTAAAATCATGTACAATAGATCAAATCCTCAAGCTTCATGTCCCTGTCTGTTTCTGCACAGGTTTCCTCTGGGTGCTCCGGTTTGCCCTACCACTAAAATCATGTACAATAGATCAAATGCTCAAGCTTCATGTCCCTGTCTGTTTCTGCACAGGTTTCCTCTGAGTGCTCCGGTTTCCCCTACCACTAAAATCATGTACAATAGATCAAATCCTCCAGTTTTGGTCCTGTCCAAGCCGAGCATCAATATTTGGAGATGGGTCAAATTTAGAAGACAAATTTCCCAACATGGATCAGTAAAGTATAGCTTAAACATTATCATGCTTCTCGCCTCATCCATTGCGGATAAATGCATTTTCCGTGGCATTTCTTGTTGTAGTTTATGTCATACCGTCTCCTACACAAACACTGTAACATTTGTGAAACATGTTTTATATATTTACAATTTTTTGGTCCAAAATTTTACCCTCATTCTCTCCACAATTTACAGTTAGGTCCGTTTTTCTTAGGGTTAGGATCGCTAACATTATTCTCCATTTGTCACTCTGGATATGTTCAATAGCCCTAAACAATAGCGCTCATTTAACCACTTTTGAAAGTGATGTCGCTGGTGTAGATAAAAGTAATGAGTCATTTAAACAACTTGATATTCCACTGAAATGAGCAAGAGCAAACATAACTACAATGCTATTCCAGTACAGTAAGTTCTAACAAATCCATCCTCACAATATTGAAGATGTGTCTTTTTAACAACGCTGTTTACCTTAATCCCGGTTATTGTCCTATCTCTAGTGCCAACCCAATAAGTGCCCTCTTATTTGGCATACAATATAATTTACTGGGTCGAGCAGAGCCAGGCTGTTGGCAAGGCAGCTGCGGAGTATGGGGAGACAAGTTGACTGTCGAATTGTTGGAGCCAGGTGTTTTTCAGACATGATAAAGCTTGCTGTGCGGGCCTACAGGAAAATTAAAGGTCTTCCTTCAGTGGGGAACGATTATAACTGTGGCCTCTTTTTAATATACGAGCAGGCATTTTTTCCCTGTTACTTCTTCATAAATCCTGCTAATGTTCAAAACCGCCAGTGTGTACAAGTGGATTTGCCCCTGGGACTTGTCTAGGTCTCTCTAAGGAGGATTGGGTTATGGAGTGGGAGAAACAGGAAGGACTATTTATCTTATCTCAAGTTTAATGTTTTCCTCACTTGACGCTAATGTGGCTTAAAAACAGAGGTTGTGTTAACCAAAACACAAAGTGGCCGATGCACCCTCATTTCTCACTGGAAGCCCTGAGGGGGTCCATACCTGTAAAAAGAGGGAGCTATGCGAATACCTTTCAACGCAAGACTAGCCTTTGCTTCACCTCGACTTTAGACTAACCTCTTTCACCCCAATCTATCTTCACAATTGACTGATCACTGGTCGTGTTAACCATACTTAAGATCACTGCAGTGTTACCAGGACTTGTTTGCAATCAGGGGTGGGCAATTATAGTCCCCAGGGAGTCACATTGGGATATTGTTGTATTGTTAAGGGGCCTAAAATGAGCTTCTCAGCCTTAAGCCTTTCAGTTCAATACACACAAATCAGAGCATTTTTCTCATCCAAAAAATTATAGCTGATTTTTGAACATTACAACATTCAGTAGTAAGTTTCATCTTTATCTTATACTGTATCTATAGCTTTGATTTGGCGATGAACCGTGCACCATTTATTAAACTTGGCACAATACACTTACTATTTTCTGTTAAACATATCTCAGTTATAAGAGTAGGTAATTACATACACAAAAATATATAATGGAGATATTTAAAGAGCGGCATGGAGCCTAAATACCCAGTGGTTTCTCTGAGTTTGTGTAAAAGTTTGTTCATGCTTCATTTTTAGCATCTGCAGCTATTGTTTTATTTAAACCTTGATTTTGAATTAATTTTTATTATTTTGTTAATTGGTTTTGATGTTCTTTTTTGGTTTTGCTTGGATTCAATCAAAACTGGACAATTTTTTTCAAGAAATCTGAGTATTTCAGACTGATTTACAGAATAATGTGTCTGACAAAGTATTACTGGAAAGGGTTAGGGGGGCCGCATACGAATGTGAATAGGTCCGCATATGGCCCCCAGCCCACAGTTTTCCCAGGTTTGCTTCAGTTTTTTTCCCCATGAGCCGACATGTAGGGAGAAGGAGGGTGGGTGGATTCCTCTGTCTGCGCCGTTTGTCGCCTATGCCTCGGGCTGAAGAGAAGTTAGAAGCAGACAAGAGCTAGTTTCAACACATTGGGAGACTGTAAGAATCCTAGAGGGCTGTCCAAAATGAGCAATGTGCGCTTAATGAAATACAACGGCCCCTCTTGCAGAGAATCCATAGAAATGTCGACGAGGAAGAGCTGAAGGCAAACTATAAGTGTGGATCACCTCTAACCCCAAACCCTCCCCAAAGGAAACCTGTTCACTCCAGCTTAGATAGACCTCCCAGATAAGAGCACAGCAATGAATCAAATGGGAACGAAGCTGACATCTTTCTGCCTTTTTCTCATCCTTAATGTCAGGGGTTTTCAAACTATGGTTAAAGATACAAGTTATACAGACGCATCAAACTAGGCATCTTTATTGATACATTTGCCACACTCAGAAAGATGCCAGACTGCGTTTTAAACATACTGTATGTGAAACCCCAAATTTAGATCAATTGTTGAAAATCTACAGTATGCCGATAATACACACCTTGCAATAGGATTTGTATGCAATGTCTTTTACTGTTTTATATGGAATTAGAAAAAGGCAAGCCGTTTTTTCACATAAAAATACAGGGCTTGGAATAACTTAATTTAAAGGGACTGTTGTTTGTAATATTTTTATTTTAAATTGTGTCTCTATCTTTCATATGTGTCCCCAGATAACAGGTCACATACTGTATATAAATGTGTCTCTGGGCCTATCTCCGCTGTTCAGACTATTGTGCTACCACTTTTGCCTTCTAACAGGGTTTTTATCAAAATGGCCACTAGACTGGTCCAAAAAAAAAATCAATCTGTCGTGACTTACTTCCCTCCTTTTGTAACAGGCAGTGAAGAGCGGCCTGAAAACGACCTGCAAGTGCCACGGCGTCTCCGGTTCCTGCGCCGTCCGGACGTGTTGGAAGCAGCTGTCTCCTTTCCACGACACCGGACGACTGCTCAAATACAAATTCGACAATTCAATGAAGGTCCTGAGCGTCACCAACGCCGCCACAGGGGAAACCGAACTGGCCGGGCCACGGAGACACGGCCAAAACCTACGCACTACTGACATGGTGTACTTGGAGGACTCGCCGAGCTTCTGCAGACCGTCACGATATTCCGCCGGGACGGGGGGCAGGACTTGTGCTAAAGACACCACCTGCCAGAGCCTGTGCTGTGGACGGGGCTACAACACAGCCATGCGCCTCACCAGTTTGTCCTGTCACTGTCAGGTCCGCTGGTGCTGCCATGTGGAGTGCCAGACGTGCATCCGAGAAGAGGAAGTGTACACCTGCAAAAACACATAGTGAAAAAGACAGAGACATTACACTGAAAGACTGTGCGGACGCTGTGGAAACTGGAGGGAATGCTTTTGTTCTTCCACATAAATACATGTTACTTGCTCTAAGCACTGAAATCTCAATCCTCCTAAACCAGTTATGTGTCTGTACCGGATTGAACTGGATGTTTATAATCTCCGATGGCGATTCATATTTGCGGACTTTGTGTGAAATGTTTTCCAAAACTCAATTCAATGAACTATTCTCATGAACTTCTCTGGTCAATGGTCCACCACCGTCTTTGCCCCATATTGCAATAATCTCATCCCATCTCTCTAACCTGAACCCCTCCCATTGGAAACAAGCATCCCTGCAGAGAGTCAGAAGTTAGACAAGAACATAGAAATATATTTTTTATGGTACTGAACTGTTAGTGTAGTATGTAAGCAAACCAGACTCAGCTGTTCTGGAGATGGATGCCTCCTGCTGGGTTGCATTCAAAGATTTTCCTTTTGGCTTCACTCCCTCAAAGGGACTCAAGTTTGCTTTCGGAGATTGTAAAAGCCACTTGGAAAACGTGGCAACATAAAGAAATTGGCACCTGTTATAAATAAATACAGACAAGGCGAGTTTATTTATGTTGCACAGTTCATACTCAATGCAACTAACTGCTAAACATAACACAATTAATCAAAGTACATTAAAAAAGTGTCTCTCATTTTCAGGAAGACTGCTCCAGATCGTAGCTGCATAGATCTGAAATGCAGCCTCACTATGTTTAGTCCTGACTCTGGGCACCAGCAGGAGGCCAGTCCCTGTGCTCCTCAGAGTCCCAACATGAGGCCAGTCCTTGTGCTCCCGAGTCCCAGCAAGAGGCCAGTCCCTGTGCTCCTCAGTCACAGCAGGAGGCCAGTCCCTGTGCTCCCCAGAGTTGGATCATATAGCCCTAACATGTCACTTATGTACTTTGGTGCGAGGCCATGGAGAGACTTGTAACAAGCAGAGCTGTTTTAAAGTCTATTCTCTGAGCCACAGGAAGCCAGTGCAGAGACCTGAGGACTGGACTAATGCGGTCGTACTTCCTGGTTCTAGTCAGGATAATGTGTGCGCACCATCATCAACATACCATTAAAAACCAATAGGTTCACAAGGAAAATGCTTTGTGAATAGATCAGTTTTATTTCTGTATACCACATTATACACATTTTACCACTAGAATAACTTCACTATTTATTGGAAATGCAATGAGTCTATACTGCTGTTTTCATAATGCTGAAATCCTATGTTCCCAGATGCCTCTAAGGTGCCTTTCATGGAACCTGCCTGTCTCTTTTAATGCTGTGTTTTAAACGTGGAGAAAAGCACTTAAGTTGCTATTGTGTGTAGATAATTGTATACAAATGTTGAATATGTTTTTGCTGGAGAGGGCTGGGATATGCCCCAAGAGTGTAAGTTCATGCGTTATCAAAGAGCCTGGCTTCAGTTGATCTTATGGAAATGTCTATGGAAATAGTTTAGCCTAAGTGCTTCGAGCAAACAGGAGAGAGCCTTTAGCAATAGAATCCAAACACTTTCTGTAGTTTCAACACAATGCAGAAAGACACACTCATGTAAACTGTAAAGCCTACATCTAAAACTCTCTTCCACAAAGCCAAAACAGTTTATTTATACCAGCAGTTCAAGTTTAGGTTGGCTGTTGTAAATAAATATATCACTGTAAAAGTATATAATTCTACCTCATTTCATCTTTTAGTAAATACCAAAATACTCTATGCTGTTATAGATACATGAACTTTTGTATATGCTTTGTTTGTACAGTGCTTATGTTGATATTCTGGTAATGTATTGCCAATTGATCTTATATTTAAGACTGGTTTATATTAAATGAATGGATATACAACTTTTACATCACTGTGTTTTATTGGGTGACTGCAGTGACATCACACACACGGAAATGCTAAACTTCCGTACTTTATTGTGTAATGGATCTTGAAGGAAAACCATGATGCCTTGTCCAAAGATTCCCAAAAGTAGTTTTTCACCAGTTTTGTTAAAAGAAAGTAATGTATATTTTTTATCTTTACTTAACTAATTGATCGAAAGGCTACCACACGCCAAACGCTGCAAGTAAACAGAGTGTTGATATTTTAGCACTTGTTCTTCTTAAGCAACATAGTAAGAGTAGCTCACGATATTAGGCTTCTCTACTCACTCGTGGTGGATGGAAACATTTTTGGCTTCCATTTGGATTGGCATGGATAACATACTGAAGCCATTTACCTGCATTTGAACATTTGTTCTCGTCCCGATGAAAGTAATAGGTAATTCAAACAATGTGATTTCCCATTGAGATGAATGAGCTGACCCACTGCTTGGCTGAGGCAGTAACTCAGGCAGTGACCTGAATGTACAGTACATATTTGGTTAAAAAAAAGAAAAAGTAATGTCTTCTTTGTGTTTATGGCTTTTAAGATTCTATGAATAAGACAATAAGAGTGTAGAGAAGTTCGTACTAAATCCATATTTGCTGACCACTGAGCTATTTGTGCGTAAATCCTCATAATTGGAGGCAAAACAGGGTTACTTTCTTAACAGTTTTGGCCTATAGATTTGTCATTGAGCTCTTATTCAAAAACCCAGTAGGAGAAAATGGGAGAAACCTCAGTGGGAAAGTGACCCATATAGTATAGATCTAAACCACAACAATAGTTATCTCAGAGGGCTTCACAAAGTTGTCGCCAACACAGATCAGAGAATCAATCAGTTCAAACTCAGCAAATGCACTGCCAAAAAAACACATAGGTCTGTAAGGGGCGGATGACCGATGTCTATAAATGTCCGTAAATATCCTTAACAATTCTGGATCATCACCGCTATCCTTAGACCCTCTTGCATCGGTAAGGAACAACACAAAACCAAGTGCATTGTGGGGCCAAAAGCATACAAAATTACATAAATAATCATGACATTATGACACATCCCATAGGAACCAGCCCGGACTCTGAGGAGCACAGGGACTGGACTCCTGTTAGTGCCCAGAGTCAGAACTAAACATGGGGAGGCTGCTTTTCAGATTCATGCTGCTAAAATCTGGAATAATCTTCCTGAAGATGTGAGACAGGCCTCCTCTCTGACAATGTTTAAAACCAGGTTAAAGACAGTTCTGTTTAGCTGTGCATACAACTGAGGGATTTTATATTTTGATCTTTCTTTTTAATGTACTGTGATTATTTATGATTTTATTTTGTTCAGCACTTTAAATTGCCTTGTGTGTGAATTGTGCAATACAAATAAACTTGCCTTGCCTAAAATAGATTGAATTTCTCAGTCATCCAAGCATGTCCCAGTACTATTTAAAATCTGCTCCCCTTGTAGACAAAAGTGCATGAGTTTAGAGAAATGCGTCTCACCCATCTGCACGCGCTCACACCACCAAAACCACTTCCTGCTGATGAAATCATTGCGGTCTCGTTGCCTGTGTCACCCGCGACAACCGCCCCGGCATCAGGTGAAGGGGTGAGGCCGTGTGGGAGAGGGGGAGAGGGGGAGAGTCTGGTGGGGCAGGTGTTGTGCCTCCAGCCGATAACCATTGACAAAAATAATGACAATGTTGATGACAAAGACGGTGAGTCAACAAAAAAAAAGGTCGGCTGAAGACGAGAGCGGTTGACCTCAAGTTTAACTACAAATTAACAAGATTGGGTAAGTTGTAATGAAAGGCAGTTTATATATGATTAAAAATGAATCATAGTGGGTGAAATACTTTAGAGCAACACAGAGGGCCATTGTATCAGACTTTTACAATATGTCCCTTGGAATTCTTTGATCTTCCGCTCTAATTGCTGTCATTACCAGTTATTATTCGTTATAAGAAAGCGCCACTTAAAACAGAGGGAAATGAGAAGAGAGTTTGCAAATGACTGGTTCTTTTCATGAGGTTAATGGCCCAAAAGTATCTCGCAAGGGGAAGCAGTTTAGTGGAGTGATTGATGGGGTCTCGCTGCGAAGTGCACCCATGATTTATGTAATAATGTTTAAATAATGTTGCAACAGGCTCAACGTTGACAACAGAGAGTTATCCACATTGAGTACAACAAGAGCAAATTTGTCAGAGAAGAAGAGAGAATCTGAGGCCCAGGCTGCAGCGATAATCGGAGGAAATGTAGGTACAGACCGTAAATGAACAGCAATAATGACATGAAGCAGGTGACACTAAATGTTTTTTTAACTGTTTTATTGTTTTAATGCATAAATGTTTTAAATTGATTTCATGTAATTTTATTGTGAAGCACGTTGGTCGCCTTGAGTGTTGTAAAGGGCTCTATAAATAAAATTGATTGATTGATGAAAGTTGTGGCATTTATCACATATGAAACAACAGTGATATGTGCATAGTAACTTTGAGCACCTAATTCATGATCAAGTCAGTAAGTAGTCTTTATTTTTTATATAGCGCATTTCTCAGACCCGAGAAAATATACAGGTTTGTCAGCTGTATATAAAAAAAAAATATATATATATATATATAGAATAAGTAACCCATTGTAAAAATATTGAAAACAATAAATAATCAAAACAATAAAATGCCAGTAATAAAACAGTAAAATACCAGTTCAATTTAAAAATAAAAACAAATCTAAAATAATAAATGAATAAAACACATTAAACAGAGAACCACGCAACTCACTCATAATGTAGATATTCATGAAAATTATAATCTCTGTAAAATTTGCAAACTCCTGTGGACTCACCACCTGCAGGAGGACCAGTGAGGGGCTGGTGCTCTGTGGACTGGGTGTAGCTCTGACTGCCACCCCACCCCCAACCCAGAAATGGATTAAGGGGAAGAAAATGGATGGATGGATGGATGGAATATTAGTGTAACAGTTGATAATAGCATAGTCAAAAGTATAGTTATAATTATGATACAGAGTGGGTAGTAGGTCACACATGCAAACAAAAATCACACCCAATTAATAATCTTGATAAAACAGATACACACACAACATACATAACATACAGTCCAT